GAGCTCTCCTTGTGCCCCCAGGTTGAGGAAGAAGAGCTAAGCTTGCGTGGAGCTTAGTTCATCAGCATTTTATTCTGGGTAATAAAAAAAATAAAATAAAATGGATACCTGTTTTCCACTGCTAAAACTGAAGCACCACTGTGTGAGAGCAACAGGAGAAAGAAACCAACCAACGGAGAGGAGAGAGAGAAGAGAGAGGAGCGCGCAAGAGAGGAGAGAGCCACTGCTGGAGCTCACTGAGCCACGGAGCCGGAGAGAGGAGAGAGAGCCCTGAGGAAGGAACTCACCCAGCAGAGCGCTCAGCTGAGTCCCCCCAGCTCCGGAGAAGGGCCTTAACAAAGCAGGTTTCACTTCATTCCATACTTCTCTTGGCGAGCAGGGCATTATTAACCTTTCAGAGCAGATGGGGAGAGGAAAACCCTCATCTCAGAGTTGGGCTCGTTTTGCGAGGGTACCGAAAACATTTTAGCAGGAGCTGTTTACGTTTTAGAAGCAGAGTATCGGAGAGAAAGGGGGGGAGTGAAAAGGAGAGAGAAAGTCCCTGCCTGGGTGAGAGCCAGCCAAGCAGAAATCAGCTGCTGCTCAACTCTGAGGTGCAGGTTTTGTTGTCCAACACTGGCTCTGAAATTTGTTGTCATCGTGTCGCCCACATTCTGAACGAGGTGGTTTTAAAGAGATTCTTTCAAAAAGAGCACTGAATTTTTTAAGAAGTTTTGTCTCTGAATTCTTAGTGGTGGACCTGGGAGATTTAGATCCTTGTTCTGAGAAGCTTATATTACAAAAAAAAAACTTTAAAAAAAAAAAAAACAAAAAAAAATATGTTTCAAACAAAAATTAGAGCACCATCCTTGAGAACTTTCAGTGTGATTTCAAGTTGCAGCAATCAGCCTCTTCTTCCTACATGGGATAGGTTTAGAGTGAGAGGAGCCTGCGTGCTCGAGCAGGAGGGTTTCAAAGTGTTTTCTGTATGCTTTAATTGGCAACTGTCTGGACTCTACTCTGTGAAAAGCAGCCTTTCTGTAAGATGAACTTTATGCTTGAAAGGGGACGGGTTCCTGTGCCCTTCGGCCCTGGAGGGAAGGTGCAGCCAGGCCTGCTTTGGTCCCCACAGCCCTGGGGAGCACCGGTGGAAATTGGGGATTATTTTGGATGGAAGGGAAGGGAAGGCTCCCACCGTTGCAGGAGCAGGACGGACAAACGGACAAAGCAGGCAGGTGGTGGAAGGTGGTGGCCTCTGAGAGACAGAGCTGGGTTTAGTTTGGGAGAACGGGTCAGGCTTTGGGCTGTGGAGCAGGAGAGGACGGAGGGAGGAGGAGTTGGAGCGGATTTTCAGGGGAAGGGAGTTCGTTGGAGCTTTGCTTTGTGCAGCAGAGCCGTGAGCCCAGCTGGGAGCAGGGCTGGAGGAGGAGCCATCCACGCTCTGAGGCGTCTGAAACACTCCCAGGGAACGCTTGGGAGCTTCCCATGTCTGTCAGGACCTTTCCTAGGAGCAGCACAGAGAGAAGGGATCCCTCCAGCCCGTCCTTGGCAGGTCCTGAGCCAGAGCAGCCTCTGCCTCCCAGCTGGGCAGCAGCAGCAGCAGAGAGGGATCCGAGCCTGGCTGTTCTCAGCCTGAGTTTAGCTTTACACTCAAAGGGCTCCAAGCGTTTCTAGTCCTTTTTTGGGGGGGAAACTCAAATACCTCTCATCTGAATGTACTTAAACAAACAGCTCAGAGCCCCTTTTGTACCCGGGCAGGGGGGACCCTTCCATTGCTGTCCTTCCTGCAGACCCTGCCCTGGGTTTGCTGGATTTGCCCCAGAGCAGCCCTGGTGTGGAGCACCCCCAGCCCGGGGGGGAGCTGCAGAAACTGCAAAAACCACAAAAATCTCAACTCACAAACCCATTCTTTTCTCATCCAAAGCCTCCAGAGTTTAGATTCTAAAGCAGTGAAAGAATGGAGACACAGGCCACCTTCCTTCCTCGTGAGATGGACTTGTTTTATTTATTAACATTGCCGAAGGGCTTTTTAATTTTTTTTTCCTTGGTAGGCAGCGTAGTGGCGTAGATTTTTGGGTAGGTTTAAGCTGAACCCCTCTGTGCAAAGCTTTCCATGAGTATTGTAGCCCCCTCCTCTGCCCTCACCCTTTATTTCACTGCTGGGAATGCTTGCCTCTGCTTCGTGCTGGTTTTTTCCTTTGTAGCAGTTCAAACTCTTTTTGAGTTTTTCAAATCCAGACATCAGTGCTAGCACGGTGTTAAAACTATTTTCTTTTTTTTTTTAATTAATTTTTTTTGTCTCAGTTTTGTTTTAAAACCTGTTTGTCATCAATTAAAAAAAAAAAAAAAAGAATAAACAGCTCTTGCATTCAAGGTGGCCCCTAAGTTTCAATGAGGAAACCATGCAACGTTCATTAAAGCTTTAGTCTGATTGTATAAACTTCAAGTTTATTACCTTTTTTAAACACAAGACTAGTACAAAAGTGGGGGTGTGCATAGCAGAGGGGGTGAGCGACTCGACTGGGAGAACTGGGAATACTGGGAATACTGGGAATACTGGGAATACTGGGAATACTGGGAAGGGTCTCACTGTCCTGGAGCTCCCCCTGCCCTGGATGGCTGCTGCTGGCTGGGGCCCGGCCCTGTGAACACTGAGATGGAGCAGAGCAGCACTGGGAATGGGGATTCCGCTCAAGCTGCTCCAGGCTGGCTCTCCAGCTCCACA